GACCCTCACCCAACTGGGCTGGGCCCATGGATCCAGCCTGGCCAGGTCCCTCTGCAGAGCCCCCTCCCCCCAGCAGATCCACACTCCCACCCAGTTTGGTGCCATCTGCAAACTGGCTGGGGGTGCCCTTGATCCCCTCGCCCAGGTCATGGATAAAGATGTTAAACAAGACTACACAGCAAAACCTCGCAGAGAAGATTCAGGCAGTCTGAGCCTCCACCTCAGAAAATTCAGGATTATTTTCGATGCAAACCCCTAAAGCACGCCTTGAAAGGTAAAATTACCCCAGAACAGTCCTAAGAAACTGTTCAAAGCGGTGATAATTGTGTTTACACTGAAAAAAAGGGTTCTCTTCTTGAGGTCATCCCTTAGTCACCAAACCGAATTTGCTCCACATTAAGAAAAAAGTCACCACCGGGTGCCGTGAAAATGCATCCAAAGCGAGGAGCCATTACAATGGAAGCTTCTTTTTTAAATTATTTTTGGTTTTTTTCAGGTTTTGGAGGATTGATTTTAATTTAGTTACAGCAAAAAGCCTCTGTCGTGTCACTAACCAGGGACACCGTGGTAATGCGCACGGTGCCAATGGCTTCCTACCCGACAGGAGCTCGTTTTCCAGCGTAGGAAATACCAGACCGACGTCAGGTGACACCACAAATTACGTGTTGGGGGGAGCTCGTGTGTGGAACCCACCCAGAAGGGTCCGCGAGCCAATTTGCGATGGCTCACTCCCATCACAGACAGATCTACGGCCACCCTGTGGGTTTTAAAACCCTAAAGGTCGGAAGAAAATAGCCCTGCTCTGAGTAAATAGGGCGCAATTCCTTTCCTTTTCCGAAAGGCTCTGTGTTATTGTTGGCGAGGCAAGGGAGATTCACATGCTCAAAGCATTCGAAACGCTCCGGTATTTGGCCGATTAAACTGATCCAAAAGGTTACGAGTCAGCTCTAGAAAGTTATCAAAATAATAATAAAAATACTAAAAATAAATAAATCGCAAGCTTTGGCACGCCTTTCCCCCAAGGAGGGGAAACTTTTCTTGCAAGCATCACTCACACCGAGCCAGCAGCACTCAGTGCTGCCGGGGCGCTGGGTCCCCCTGGGAATCACAGAACCATGGGATCGTTTGGGTTGGCAAAGCCCTTTAAGCTCCCCCAGCCCAACCGTTCCCCTAACCCCTGCCATCCCACCCCCAAACCCCGGCCCTCAGCACCGCCTCTGCCCGGCTGT